AACAGGCCTGTTGGGAGGATCATGGCTGTTTTAGTCATTAGTGCTACTGCAACCAAATACCACAGGCTGGGGGGCTTGCAAGCAACAGAGATTCATTTCTGCAGTTCTGCACGCTGGCAAGTCCGAGATCAAGAGCATCAGCCAATTCGGTGCCTGGTGAGGGTTTTGAGGGTGTCCTGCAAGTCGCTGGAGGACGATAGTAAGAACAGCCTTGGCGTCGGAGGCACCACACCCACGGGCAAGGAGAGGTCACAGCGGCACAGGGGCCTGCACCCACCAGTCGGGAGCTCAACAGACTCACCCCCAGGGGAGCACTTGCTCCCCTCTCCCAGGGCTCAGTCCCAGAGCCGCCTTGTCACCGATGCTGTTCCCCTCCCTGCTGCCATTGTCCGCCCAGGGCCATAGGAACCTGCACACCAGCCACAGGCCGGCCTCCCAGACTCACGGCCAAGCAAGAGGCAGACACAGAAGTCCACACTGTGTGGTTCCACTTAGGAAAGTTGGACGCTTCCCTCAAGGCAGAATGGCGTCGAAAGCCGGGTCACTGGGTGCCATCTGGGGTGGTGGCTGGAGGGGCACAGGGCGCTGGTTGCAAGAGTCCACTCTGAAACCTTCCCCTCTGCCATGGCTGCTCTCCCACGCCTGTGCCCTGCTGCAGCCCAGAGCTGACAAATGCACAGGCATGTCCTTCCAGCACACATTGGCACGGGACCACCCTCCCCACAGGCCATCTGCCAGCTCCTCAGATTCCATGCGTACGAGACAGAGCTCCTGCTCCATATTCCCTCCCATGCTCAGTCCCCATCACACCCCGTGGGGGAGGGGAGCACCAACACCTGCCCACTGGCTCAGCCCACCTTCCTGCAACCTCACATCCACGATGCATTCCCTTCTTGTGAGGCCAGGCCCCCTCCATCTCTCTCGGGTCAATAGAACTACCTGACTCCCACCTCTGGCCCTTCCTACCCTCCTGCTACCCATTCTCTACGCTGTGACCCTTCCCGTTTGCTTACACGGCCCAATCACCCCCATCATCCCCTCTGGCCCTGAAGGGAGCTATACCCCTCAGTATCCCACCATGATACCTCCTGCTCCTGATACTTCATGGGGTTTCAGAGGCCACAAGATGCAGACCTACAAGGGGTCATGTCTTGTACCCACTGAGTGTCCCTGGTGGCCGACTGCAGCACTGGCCACTCCTCAGCTGAGGACACAGGAGTGGGGAATGGGCTGTGGCCTGTCCAGCCCTGTCCAGCCCAGGGCACTCCAGAGGGCAGAGTCCCCACAGAGGGTGGAGTGCTTTGTCACATGCCACTGTGTGGATGGGCCACAGTGTACCGTTCAGCTACTGACGGACATCTTGGTTGATTCCCAAGTTTTGGCAATTTTGAGTAAAGCTGCTGTTAAAAACCCTCATGCAAGTTTTTGTGTGGACATAAGCGTTTAACTGGTTTGGGTAAATACCAAGGGGCGAAACTGCTAGATTGTGTGGTAAGAACGTATTTAGTTTTGTAAGAACTGCTAGATTGTGTGCTAAGAATGTATTTAGTTTTGTAAGAACTGCTAGGTTGTGTGCTAAGAATGTATTTAGTTTTGCAAGAACTGCTAGATTGTGTGCTAAGAATGTATTTAGTTTTGCAAGAACTGCTAGGTTGTGTGGTAAGAATGTATTTAGTTTTGTAAGAACTGCTAGGTTGTGTGGTAAGAACGTATTTAGTTTTGTAAGAACTGCTAGGTTGTGTGGTAAGAACGTATTTAGTTTTGTAAGAACTGCTAGGTTGTGTGGTAAGAACGTATTTAGTTTTGTAAGAACTGCTAGGTTGTGTGTTAAGAGTGTATTTAGTTTTGTAAGAACTGCTAGTTGTGTGGTAAGAATGTATTTAGTTTTGTAAGAAACTACTAAAGTGTCTTCTGCCAATGGAAGCACCACCTCACACTCCCGCCAGCAATGAATGAGAGTTCCTGTTGCTCCACGTCCTCACCAGCATTTGGCATCGTCAGTGTTTTGGGTTTGGGACATTCTTTATTTTTATTTTTATTTTTTCAAGATGGAGTCTCACTCTGTCACCTAGGCTGGAATGCAGTGGCAGCATTTCGGCTCACTGCAACCTCCGACGCCCGGGTTTAAGTGATTCTCCTGCCTCATCCTCCCGAGTAGCTGAGATTACAGGTGTGCGCCACCATACCTGACTAATTTTTGTACTTTTAGTAGAGATGGGGTTTCGCCATGTTGGCCAGACTGGTCTCGAACTTCTGACCTCAGGTGATCTCCCTGCCTCGGCCTCCCAAAGTGCTGGGATTACAGGTGTAAGCCACTGCGCCTGGCCGAGAGCCAATCTTCCATCCCACCCCAGACTCCTGAGTGTGACTCTATCTCTGGACTCTCTGTTCTGCCCTGGACCTGCGCATCCACACCGGGTTCAGTGACTTTGCAGTGTGGTGTGTGTTTAGTAAGTCGTGCCAGCACCTGCTGTGACTCCTTTTTAGTCATCATCCTGGTTTGGGCATCAGGACACGCTTGTAATCCTGGCACTCAAGGAGGCCAAGGTGGGTGCTTTGCTTGAGCCCAGGAGTTCAACAGCAGCCTGGGCAGCATTGAGAAACCCCATCTCTGAAAAACAGAAAAAACTCCAAAATAGCTAACTGTGGTGGTGTGCACCTGTAGTCCCAACTGCTCAGGAGGCTGAGGTGGGAAGACTGCTTGAGTCAGAGGTCGAGGCTGCAGTGAACTGTGATGGCATCACTGCACTCACGCCCGGGCGATGGACCGAGACCCGGTCTCAAAAAAAAAAAAAAAACCCAAAGTCCTGCCCAGCGTTGCTTGGTGATGTAATAATGCTTTTCCAAATGAACGTGAAAGTCAGCGTGTCCACCGTGAGACTGCAGGTTAATTTAGGAAGAACTCACATCTTTGTGTGATGTGAAAAGCCTCCGCATCCAGGAACACGGCGTTCCGCACAAGTTCTCGCAGCGTTGTGTGCACGCGGAGCCCGCTCGGCCCCTGGGGCTGCTGTCGTCGGCGGTCCCGCCCTCTCCGAGGAGCTCGAACGTGATTGGTCCGCGGAGAGGCTCCCTGGTGGTTGGCGGTCCCGCCCTCTCCGAGGAGCTCGAACGTGATTGGTCCGCGGAGAGGCTCCCTGGTGGTTGACGGCGCACCCAGCCGACCTCCCGAGGTAGCTGTGACCCCCCGGCCCGGCCCTCCCCACGAGGTGCTGGCCTTGCATGGCAGCCTTGCTTCCTTGTTTCAGGGGCAGCATAACTGTCCGTTACCTACTGCTGCAGAACAGATCGCCCCAAAGCTCAGTGGCTTAAAACAACGTAGATGTTTATTTTATGTATGTATTTGTTTTGAGACGGAGTCTTGCTCTGTCACCCAGGCTGGAGTGCGGTGGCACAATCTCGGCTCACTGCAACCTCCGCCTCCTGGGTTCAAGCCATTCTCCTGCCTCGGCCTCCTGAGTAGCTGGGACTACAGCTGCCCGCCCCCACCCCTGGCTAATTGGATGTTTATTTTAAACAACATAGACATCTAACAGCTGGGCGTGGTCTAGGTGGGAGGGTTAGGCCTCAGGGTCTCCCTGAGATGGCAGTAAGGCTGGGGCTGGGACTCGAGCTGCAGGTGGGCTGGAGGCCTCAGCTCTTCCATGGGGCCTCCCCACAGGGCTGACCCAGAGCCAGTCCAGAGAGCAAAGCGCCAGGCGTGCTGACTCTGGGACCCGGCGGCCACTTGGCCATTCCTGCCATATCCTGGTTAGTGACAGAAGGGACTCGGGGTCGGAGCAACACCAGGGCCACAGGCAGGTCCTGCCGGTCAGAGGACCCAGGCTTCCAGGTCAGCTGAGCCTGGATTTCTCCAGGGCTGATGGAGTCACCAGGCCCTCCTGCCGTCCAGGGCCGGGAAGGGTCTCACCCCCTCCGCCTGGCACACCACTGGGGCGTCTCTGGTGTGTAAAGGGGCTGGACGGGGCGTGGGGCCCTGGAGGGGTGCGGGAAAGGAGTCTCCACCCCCAGCCATCCCCGCCTCCGACGGCACTGGTCCTTTAGGGAGGGGCGCCCTTCGCTCGCTGGCGCTTCCCCGAGGTTCCCTCGCAGTGGGGGCCGAGCTGTCGCTGGA